AGAGGGGCAGTAGAAAGCATCCTGACTGAAAACATCACAAACTGGCATGGGATGTGCACGGCTCAGGACCGGAGGGCTCTGCAGCGGGTGATTAAAACTGCACAGAAGATCGTTGGTACCCATCTCCTGAGCATCAGTGATAGCGGTGAGGTGAGGTGCCTTCTGAGCCCAAAGGATACTAAAGGACAGCACCCACCCAGCCACAGCCTGTTCACCCTGCTGCCTTCTGGGAAGAGATATAGAAGTTTCTGCTGCCACACCACCAGACTGCAGAGCAGCTTTTCCTCCCAAGCTATCAGACTCTGTTTCATCCTCAGCACTGCTGAGGATACTGATGATAGTTTATTTCTGTTTACCATTTTTTAGAATTGATTCTTTATTCACATATATTGTCTGCTATGTAGCAGAAGGGAGTTACAAAACTCAATTTCACTCTATAATGTGTTGTATTGTGACTATAAACCTACCGATTTTATGCAAGGTATCGAATGAAGTACTCTATTGGTATCATTTTAAGGGTACTGGTATCGTAAAATTTTAAACGATACCCAAACCTAGTGGTAATGTAGCTGAAGCAAACTTGCTTTGTTTGGGACTGTGAGCTGCACATTATCAGAGGTGTGGAAGTTAACATTTATGGTAAGATTTCTGCCTGATCACAAGTGTTTTCACTTATTTTCTTTTTTCACATCTTTGTCTCATCCATGTCTGTCAGTTGGTCTGAAAGGGATACTACCATATCAGCAGAGCAAGAGCATGGGCTAATGCACAGAGTATAGGGTAGGCATTAAAACAATTATGAATTCTCATTATATTAAATTAATATATATACACTAATATTAGGCTATAACTTTTTGTTCGACATGTCAGAGAGCACAGAGTGTAGGTTAGTTGTAACAACAATATAAATGTTTAGTTGTATTAATGTGTTTTCTTTGAACTTCAGTGTCACTGACACACATACACACACACACACACACGCAGTAATGTTTTAGTGATCGTTTTATTATTATGTTCAAATGTTAGTGTGGTGACTACCTGTAGGCTTCTCTGTGAGCCCATGACCCCTGCACTCCAGGAGTGCCATATGTATGTCACCACTGTGACGGTGAAAGATAAGCAAGCACAAACACACACTAGCATTGCACATTGTTAACTTTTATTTTGTTCACTACTATGACTGACAGTAACTAACATTTTACCAGTTATTATGTATTTTTTCATATTCCTTATTACTTAATGTTACATTTAACCCCAAAGTATGTTCCAACTAACCCAGACTATGGGGTTTTACGTTTTACTCTTTTTGTTTGAGACTAAACCTTGTGAGCTTATCTGACCTATGGCTCAGAAGGAAGAAAGAAGTATTGCGAGGTAACACAAAACATAATGCGAGGGAATGCAAAAATAGTCCTAAAAAAAAAATTCTCGCCCTGACCTTTAGAAGGCGTGGTACTCTCATTTTCTCACACATTCACTCACATAACCCGTACCTGTCCACTACAGCCTTGTGTGTAGCCTTCCACTGTTCCTTATCAGCATCAGTGCCAATCTCAGGATTCAGCTTCTGTAGGTTGACTCCTGCCACGTTAGCACCGCTCCACACTGGCACTGAAATAAAAGCACACGCAAACATATAATTCTGCACTATGTATGATTTTCAAATAAAATCATATTCACTTTCTTTCTGTCCAGCCTCAACAAAGAAAACCTACCCTGATGATCCCAGCAGACATATCTGACAAATATTAATATAATAACCAAGTCTGGTTCCAATGTGTACCCACCGCTGGTGTCTCCGTGCTCTCCCAGCACCCAACCATTAAAGGAGCTGGCATGGATGCCAAGACGTTCGGCCATTAGGTAGCGGAAGCGGGCAGAGTCCAGGTTGGTGCCACTGCCGATGACGCGGTGCTTGGGTAGACCACTCAGTTTCCAGGTCACATATGTCAACACATCAACTGTGGAAGGTGTGTCACAACCAGGGGTCATTGATACCTAATATACACAAACACACATGAAAATAAACCCAAAGATAATAATTTGTGCATTAGTTATTCACCAGGGTTGGAGACCACGATGAGTGTGCAGTTGGGGCTGTACTTGATGATCTGGGGGATGATGGACTTGAAGACGTTGACGTTCCTCTGCACTAGGTTGAGGCGGCTTTCACCCTCCTGCTGGCGAACACCAGCCGTCACCACGACCAGGCGAGAGTTGGCTGTCACCGCGTAGTCTGGATGAGGAAGAGACAAAGTGAAACAAGATCTGATTAGTGATAGAAATTTTTCCTCAGGGGAAGATGCGAGATGTGAAGATTTGAGCAGCAGGTCCTGACCTTTGTCAGCAACTATCTTGGAGGTCTTGAGGAAGAGACTGCCATGCTGCAGGTCCATCATCTCTCCCTTGAGACGATCTTCCATCACATCAACGAGAGCCAGCTCATCACACAGGTCCTGTCCAAAGGAGGAGGAGGAGGAGGAGAAGGAGTACAGGAAGATGATTGTGGAGAAGAGATGGAAAGTCTACTTCACATTCAATTTGCCAGGGTTATACTAACATGGATTACATGACATTCGTCAGAAGGGCTTTAATTTTTTTTGCATCAACTTCTATTAGATGTTACACAAATATGTACACAAATATGACAAATAGAATGTCAATATAATATGGTCATTCCTGAGCCTCTACAGTTTATGACTCATTTAATAAAATTTGTTTGTTATAAGAGATCTACTGGGAAATATACGACAGTGTATTTGGGCCATTATAGATTAAAAATAATTACGAGATTGAAGTCGTAAATTTACAAGAAAAAACTCACAAATTTATGAGAAAAAAACTTGAATATTTTAAGATTAAAATGGTAAACTTATAAACTACATTTAATCTCAGAGAGGTTTTTTTTTTTTATAAATTTGTGAGTTTCTTCTTGTAAATTTACCACTTTCATCTCAGACATTTAGATCCATTTTAGAATTTCACCCTCCCACCTCGGCTCTGTATTATAGTTTTTTTTATCTTCAATGTCCTTCAAACACCGTAGTAGAAATATTTATATAAAAAATGTATATGTAAAATAAATCCTTGTTAAAATATACACATCGTATTTATCTAAATACATTTTTCTCTCTTCACTCTATAAATAAACATACAGTATGTGTATACTAAATAATGGACTGTGTGTCTCAACATACAGTAGATTGACTTATATTTTGATCCAATATCTGCTTTCACACACATAAAAACTATCTGTGCTGGTATGTAGCATGACTATTACTAAACAAACTATTACTAGCGTGCAGACTACCAGCTATGTACACCGTGCTCAACAACCCAGCTGTATTAACGTTAATAGCTATCCTTATTAGTTAGGCAACTTACTATTGCTAATAACTTTTTTTAAGCTGGGGCTCCAGCTTGTGTAATTTACACATATGGTAATGTATCAGATTTTGATATGGGCTCTTTTCTATTCTTGTAGTCTAGTCTCTTGTAAGAAAACCATGCTGAACGTGTTGTTGCATCTTACCCGCAACAGGATGCTGACGGCACAGGCCATGCCCACCTGGCCCACCCCGACCACCGTCACCTTGTTCCTAGGAGGCTCAGCAGGGCTGCTGGCCAGAGGGCTGATCAGCTTCTGCAGCACTGAGGACATGATCACAGCTGCAGGGTGACACAGAGAGGACAAAATATTAAATAGCAGGGTTGCAGCTAATTATTATTATTTTGGTCTACTAATAAAAGTCAAAAAGTCAAAAAATAAAGATGAGAAACTTCCTACACTATATCTCAATATAACCGAGGACTATTATGCTAACTTCAGTCCCTCCCAAACTGATCATCTTGTTGATAGTGCTGCAGGCTCGTTGCAAATGACACTTGATTCTGTTGTCCCTCTAAAGAAAATAATAAAAAAAAGGTTAGATCAATTGTAGCCAGGCTGACAGAGAGTCACAGTTCTGAGCCATATATTCTCATAGCTCTCAGTAGTAATTGCTTCATGAGCTTTTTTAATGATAAAATTCTAATTTTTAGAGACAAAATTCATCACATTCTACCCTCAACTGGCACCGGATTATCTTCAAACTCAGGAACCTTAAAAAACAGCTGTAAAGCCTGATGTATATTTAGACACCTTTTTTTCCTATTGATCTTAAGCAACTAACTTCAATGATTTCTTCATCTAAACAATCTGACCGTCTCTTAGACCCCATCCCAACTACGCTGCTTAAAGAAGCTTTACCCTTAGTCAGCACTTCTTTACTATGATCAATCTGTCTTTACTAACAGGCTATGTACCACAGTCCTTTGTAGCTCTAATTAAACCTTTTCTTAAAAAGCCCACTCTTGATCCAGGGATTTTAGCCAACTACAGATCTATATCTAACGTTCCCTTTCTCTCTAAGATCCTTGAGAAAGCAGTCACCAAATATCTGTGTGACCAAGGGTGGACGATATGACCTAAAATCAGAATCATTTTACCTCGATTGCGATTAATGAACGATTATATTGTTATGAAGTTTTATTTTGCCCTCATATTTAACACTGTAAATATGCTCAACTATTAAAAGTGTGAAATATTTTTTAGATTCACAGATGTCAAAAATTGAAGATCTAAATGTTAATTGAAAAGGTAATGTTGAAGGATGGCAAAGGGATGCATGCCACAGTCACATAACAAAATGGGGAGAGCGGGTTGGCTGTTAATCGGAAGGTCGGCGGTTCAATCCCTGGCTCCCCCTGGTTGCGTGTCGAAGTGTCCCTGGGCAAGATACTGAACCCCGAATTGCCCCTGGCGGCTATTCCGCCAGTGTATGAGTGAGTGTGAATGTTAGTTTGCGTTTGAGCACTTAGGCTCAGTGTATGAATGTGTGTGACTGGTGAATGCAGATGTAGTGTAAAAGCGCTTTGAGTGGTCGAAAAGACTAGAAAGGCGCTATACAAGTACGGAGCATTTACATTTTTTGCATAACAGAGATGTGTTCCGCTATATTTGGAGCATCTCCACTGTTGAATGAATGACCACCGCTACCAAAATATCACACGATCATTAATATGACGCGCAACTAATGATTTTCACTTGCACACTGTGCAAGCACAGTAACACTCAATGCTTGGCTAGCTTCCTCTCCTCTTTAAAAAAAAAAGGCATCGACGTAAAGGTTGCTGTTATAAGAACAGTGAAAGTTAACATTTTTCTTTTAAGGGTGTATGTGCGTGTGCGAGCAAATGTCAGAAAAGCAGCGGTACAAAATGACGGTAAAAGTAAGCTAACTTATCAGTCTGGCAATAAATGTACAGTGTAGGTCACAGTGTGTCCGTTAATCAAATTCTGACTGTTGTTTCCCTAACTGCTTGAAAGTAAAGGCGTTAGCAATAGCTAACAGGACTGAATGGGTGGAGTCACGTGACTACACTAGTATGTTTTCAAGGTGAAAGTACATGAACACACACACACACACACACACACACACAGTGGGAAAAATAATAATAAATAAACATAATAACCGACGTGAAAATTACATCAGTTAGAGGTTATGAATTTCGGTTTCGATTACTCTTCGGTACGGGTCCTATGTGTGACTTTAAACATAATAATAGTTTACTTAAGGATTTTCAGTCAGGATTTAGAATGCATCATAGCACAGAGACAGCACTGGTAAAAATACCTAATGACCTACTAATGAATGCATCTGTCAAAGGATTTGCCCTTGTACTGGCCTTGTTATATCTTAGTGCTGCATTCGATACCACTGACCGGAACATTTAATTTGCATTAAATGAACCGCTCCAAGCTGGTTTAAGTCCTATTTATCAGATCGATGTTCCTGCTCGACAACCTTGCTACAATTGTTATTACTAGTCCTATTGTTATTATAATTATCATTAACATTTAGGGCTGTAGTAATATGTTGGGGCTCAACATTGTTGCAGCATTGTTGCCATTTTTGATCAATATCTATCACGTCAATTTACTGCAGCAACACGCACACACACACGCACACACTTACTGTTTTATTTATTTATTTAAAAAATTTTTTTTAACACAAATACACATACGCTTTGATTACTTTACGCTTTAATTACTTGTTTAATGAAATGTATGGGGTTGATTGATGTAGTTTGTATGATGCTTTGGCAATATTGTTGTTACACATTCATGCCAATAAAGCCAATTTGAATTGAATTGAAAGGTCAGAAGCTAAGGAACATAAATCCATTGTAATTTAACATTTTTATTTTACCATTACAGACTAAATGGAGAATGCAATAAAGAAAAATGTAATATTTTTCATCTTCGCCTGGTAAAAAAGCTATATTTTTAATGCAATAAACCATCAAACCATCATAAGATAGATTATAATGCAACTGAATATCATTTAATACACCTGGAATGCAATTGTAACTGCAAGTTTGATGAAAATAAACTAAAATACAACAATATTTTCAAAATATACAAGGCGAATGTCCATATTTTGGCAATATTAAATGTTGACTTTTATTGGGAGTTATCTTTAAAACACTATTTATGTCCATACAACCACATTCCAAATAATATAACATTGAAATACTGATAAAAACAGTGAATATTCATCAACATTCCTCTGACCAAAATAACTCCCATTCTTTACAGGTGTGTGGTCCGTTCTCAAGCTACTCATGCCCCCTCATCACTATGCACAGCTCCCACAATAAGATGATATTTCTAGCAACAAACCAGCTTATGGTAGCATATAGGGGACTAATTTCAAATTATCATGCAAACATGAAAATGAAATCCCACAATAACATTATAATTTTCCACCTATGTATGTGTTATTTAGGTAAAAATAAAATGCAATCATCCAATTTTGATTTTCATTATCATATACTTGTGTGGGCATTATCGTACAGTGGATCTCTGGGAGAGATCTAAGGGGGGTGCCCAAAGCTTTATCTGTTGTCAAAAATACTGTTGATTTGCACATTTAAAAAAAATTGTGATAACACACTAGATAATTTATACAAAAGTCTGTGTAGATTTTTTTCCTCACTTAAAATAGTAGGCATACTACATAGTAGTAGGGCTGTAATGGTTTTGAAACAGAGACCAAAATCGCGACACAAAAGTCCATGATCTCGTGTCGCGGATCCAAGAGACAGAACCGCTACACACCCGCTCATTGGACTGTTGAGCTCTCAAAGACAGTGCAACTGTGTCGGCAGCGGCTGGTGGAGGGTGGGCTCGGTAGCGGTGTATATTGTAGGCTATTTGTATTAACAACCTATACTACACTAGGCAGCTCGCATTCCACACCCGGCTCCAAGTCAGCGAGCCGTTCTTCTTACCCGTTTAAAGTTTAAGAATAGGTTGAGATCATTTCGGCCCCAAGACCTATAATCAATCGCTTTACCAGATAAAACTGCAAGACTGAGCGTCAAGTATCCTGATCAGCTACTAGATGGTTCAATTAGTCTTTCGCCCCTATACCCAGGTCGGACAACCGATTTGCATGTCAGGACCGCTACCTCCACCAGAGTTTCCTCTGGCTTTGCCCTGCCCAGGCATAGTCTTTCGGGTCCTATGGCACACGCACATGCTCCACCTCCCTGACAGAGCAGTAATAATATAATTTGGGAGCTTGAGGAGATATTTGCTCATTTTGATCAAAAAGTGTTGATTGGATGAGATTGAATACACCAGGTGCAGAGTTAACATCGTTAATGTAGTATAAAAGCGCTTTGAGTGGTCAGAAGAATAGAAAAGCAATATACAAATCTAATATCTAAATCCAACACATTCTCATCTCAATGCGTCATAACTTACGCTTTCAGACAGCGTGACAAAACGTAAGGATTTTACGCTAAAGGTACCCTTCAGCGTCCATATGAAACGCCCCCGTTTGCTACGTTGCAGCAACACAAGGGAGGCTAACCCTACCTGTTAACACATCGGCGCTAGTAGTTATTTGACGCTAAAGTAGTACCTTTACCATCAAATACCTACGCTTTGTCACTCTTTCTCAAATCGTCGGTATATGATGCCCTGAGATGAGAACGGGCTCCTAAATCCCAATATGTAAGGTTGCTGCAGGGATTACATAATGGGATTTAGTTTTTTCAACAGTTGCCATCTCTGACTATTGTAGCATTTTTAAAAGAAAAAAGATATTATTTACACAACGTGTATATATAGAAAAACACAAACGGTTGTATATTTGAGCACAAATCTTTTTCAGATGCTGGCTGCAGCGGTAAGTTGGATTTTTTTTCAAAGTGACACAACTTTAGTTTTGGGCCCAGTAATGACAAATGCAAACTCCTGCAGGGACTGATTAAGGAAGTTCTTGAAAGAGAAATGTTGCACCTCCATATGCCTCTGTAATTTTGGTGGCTTCAAGCAATTATTGGAAAAGCATATGTAGTGTATATTCCTACCTTTTTTTTCATTTACCTGACACTGGAGGTTAGAAGTGTCTTCTAATGCTGTTACTTGTTTAAAAAATTCATTTTTGAGTTAAAATCAGTTATTCACAGTATTTATCAAAACATGTCAAGTACCTCCCTTAAGGACAATACAATAAAAAAATATTACAAGAAAAAACACTCCAGTCAAACATGACTGTCCTCTAAAAATAATATAGCAAATCATAAGCCTTTTATAATGGACATTCAAAGGAAGCAAAGAGACTAAACCATATTAGAGCAAAACACAAACGTAACTGAAGAGAGTTAACATATTAACGTATTCTACATAACTCCTATTCATGTTCTGTAAAGGAGCAATACCATATCAAGGTCAAATTGATACCTCCTTTTGTCCACTGGAGGTGCCCTTCACAAAAAAAGTGTACAATTGAAACCAGGGTTTCCTTACTTTTCTTTGTCACTAAAGTCATATTTAATAAAACTGTGCTAAGAGGGAAATCCTACTAGTTAGATATAATACATCATTATACAATAAGAAAAATAGCAGCCTTAGATAGAGTTATACATATTATGAGAAAAAAAAGAAAATACAATGAACCTATATGCTTAGGACAACCAGTGAATCCAAGGGATATCTGAAGGTCTCAGGGCCTCAGTTTGGGAACCACCACTTAGCTATCAGTATGGATGAAGAATCAGTAAGCCCATGCTGTCTGTAAATTTTAGCCTTCTGGCACAGGGACCTCATCTCAAGGTCAAATGGAATCTTGACCTTGTGGCTCTGTAAACTGGACTGTAGGCTACAGCTATCCCCACACAATGCCTAATTTTAGCTTTCTAAAATCAATTAAATATTACATGGTCTAGCCTTATTACATATAGGACACAGTGCATGTCTAAGCGAACATGCTGGTCTTATTCCTCTCTTTCATTGTGGCTTTAGTGGAGCTGGGGTTATGTAACCGCCAGGGCCGTCGTCCTGCCGTCGTCCTTCGTTTCGGTGATGAAAGACACTAACAACGTGAGTAACAATGTTAAGAGCCTCTAAATAAATATGCATATATCGCTTCTATGACTTAAAAGGCAACGAACGCCAGGAGGGGAAGAGTTCAAGTTCACATAACTTAAAGTAGACCTAACAGAAAATAAAATAATACACATTTCGCACGGTATTAGAGAAACAATCATAATGATACCTGATAGCAACTATCTAAGCTGACGCAAAACATCCATGTAAGCTCCTTAGTTTTTATTTTCAAACAGTTAAATGACAGTCAGTTAAAAGTCAACTTGTATAGCTTACATATAAAATGGGTTCCTGCTCGCGGGCATTTCAGCTCTGGCTTCCATTGCTGCTGAGGCGTTCAGCACGCATCACTGTGCGGCAGCCCAGAGGAAAAAGATTTAACAAATAAAGCAGAATACTTACAGATGTTTCTAACGGCTGATATCCGATGTCCTTTATCTTGTGGAGGACACGGTGCGGCGACCAGCGACTGGCAAAGAGAGATGGACAGAAGGTTAGTGTGGAGCTGAACGGGTTGCAGTGAGGAGGAGGAGGAGGAGAGGGGGGCGGGGGAGGGGTTACCAATGGCTAGGCTGGGACTGTCTGCGTAGCATTTATATACCTGTCTGCCACGGAAGATTGGGAAATATGGTTAGCTGGAGATTAAATGCACAGCCGTAAATTACCGTGACTGGTGTTGGCTATTATATTCAGATTCCTTACTCAGGTAAACTAACGTCAGTGAGCTCCGTCAACAGGCTGTCTTCCTCATACTTTCCTTTCCATCCTGAAGTGGGTGGAATTTAATTTCCATTTAACTGTAACACAGTAACATTGCCCTCTGCATGAAAGAGAGACCATTTTTTAATTGCGCCTTAAACTGTATCTCTTCATACATCTGGGGATGCCAAAATGTAATTAAAGGTGCTACTCAGACTCTACTGTTAAGGAAAGATCCGAGACTTGCCTGTGCCTGTTCATTCCATAGCTTTCCCAATAGATATTCCCAAACAAATAAGAATAAAATAAAAAATAAATCTTTACTACATAACACTAAATATAATCACTTCTATTTTTTTAACATTACTGTATTTTGTCTGACCCTGATGATCAGCAGCAGAGGCATGTAACATGTGGCATTTACCCCAGAACTGTACAGTATTTCCTACTTTTTACTCCATTACATTGATCATAATCCAGTATTAAATATATTCTATGCTAAAACCCTGACGGGGGCTATTTTAACATTTCTGTTACTGAAGGAACATGTTGAATGCACAACTACATTACTTTTTATGAAGTTTCTTTTCTGGAAGCTTCTTAAGTAAATAATCTGGATGCTTCTTTCACCACCGATGACCAGACACTACTGCACTGATATTTTCAGTTCAGTTTTCTTTATGTAGCACTTTCCTTCACTGTAAACTCGATAAGTCTGTTACACCTTATCTAGTTGGACCCGAACACGGATGGACTTTCACCTGTAAAATATACTCATAATGCTTCAGGGACAGCGTTATTGCACTGGATAAAATATTTATCTTTACTTAGTGGTACACTTTGTCTTGTCTGCAGAAACATGTGGTAAAGAGTGTTAATATAATGTGACCTACATACATACATACATATGATATATATGATTAGATCAAAATTATTTTCCCACTATTCAATTTTCAACACCTTCTGCAGGGTGAAAACACCTGTGTGGGCAAAAAACAACAGTCACTGGGTCACAGAGAGGAAGTGGAAGCCTCTGTTCCTTTCTCCCTTTTAGCCTCAGACCAAGACTGGTTATAAAAATAATATTTTTTATTTATTTATATATGCCCATGTTATTGTACAAAACATGGGCAGCATCAATACAAAGAATACCAATAGGTATGGCTACAATACATGTAGTGTCCTTATTGATACAAAAGAAACAACAAAAGAGGAAAAAAGAAAAAGAGAGAATAGATACGCACACATATGGGGCGGCTGTGGCTCAGGAGGTAGAGCGGGTTGGCCGTTAATCGGAAGGTCGGCGGTTCAATCCTGGCTCCCCCTGGTTGCATGTCGAAGTGTCCTTGGGCAAGATACTGAACCCCGAATTGCCCCTGGCGGCTATTCCGCCAGTGTATGAGTGAGTGTGAATGTTAGTTTCCGTTTGAGCACTTAGGCTCAGTGTATGAATGTGTGTGACTGGTGAATGCAGATGTAGTGTAAAAGCGCTTTGAGTGGTCATCACCTTTGTCCCTTTGTAATCTGAGACTAAAAGTCACTAGTTCCATGGATGTCTTTAATTATGACTTTCCACTGATTAACCATGGGAGGTTCTGTGAGCCTTCTTCTTGTAATGGCTTTTGTGCTCGCTGCCATGAAGATTTTTAAGAGGTATCAGTCTTTCTTTGGTAGTTCAATGTCCACATTACCCAGGTAGAATGATAAACAAGTAAAATTAAAATTATACTGCAAAACTTCTCTAATTATGCTTTGAACTCCTCACCAGAGGGATTTAAGAATGGGACAGCTCCAGAATATGTGTGTATGATCTGCAATACTGTGTCTACATCCTCTCCAGCATGTAGGTTGTAGTCCTTTCTGTTTCAACTTTTGCTTTGGTGTTATAAAAAATCTGATACAATTTTTCCAGGAGAAATCTCTCCACAGTTGTGAGGCCGTAGTGGTGATTTGTGTGTTAATTATATTTGTCCAATCTGAAGTTATTACAGTTCCCTTTTTCCCATTTTGCCTTAATATAGTTTGTTGAGTGACCTCAATTCAGCGGTGTGTCTCTATAGTTCTCCAATGATCTTTCTGGACAGTTTTGTATTATAGGCTTTGATAAACATTTTGGTAATATTTGATTTATTTTTCTGGTTAAGTCCTTTAATGTTCTTACCAAAGTAGTGCCAGAGTTGGAGGTACCTTTAGAAATCCTGCTGAGCAAAGCCGTATCTATCTGAGATGGTTTTGAAGTCTATGAAAACCTGGTTTTCAACTAGTAGACATAATGTGGACAGTCCTTTTCTCGCCCATTGAATGAAGCTTCCATCACTTATACCTGGTTTGAAATCTGAATCATGGGTTGGCCTCAAATTTCTTTCTGAATGTTAATTTGTTTCACCAGGCCAAACCCACTGGCTCTGGATAACATATTGTTTAGCCAACATTGGGCTAATAAATCTGTATAGGTCTGTGTGACAATGATAACTTCCCCCAATTCCCATTTTGCAAATTAGTCTGTATTGCAACAGAGCAACAGTGGTCTTATTTGTGCCGCTAAATAGTAATCGTGGCAAGCCCATCCCACCACTGCACTTTGGCAGCTGTAAAGTTTATAACTCACCCTGGGAGCTTTGCTATTCCAGATAAAACAGGCAAACAGGCCAGCTTGCTCCGCCTCTTTCTGTCTCTCTCTCCCTGTATGTGTCTCTGCTGACTCTCTCCATCAGCAATATGTTTCATAAAGTTGCAATGTTTATTAAACTCACCCTTGATTCAGTTTTCAAGTATGCCGCATGTGGATCGAAACTGAAACTAACCGTTTGTGACACCACTGCGGTGGTGCGTTCACTGTTCACTAGATACTAGACCCGCTAATTATATGTTGTGCAGCAGTAGGTGAAGTGTGGACCACGCTGTGAAAATGCCATGTAAATCAAATGATTACTTCCTGTTACCAGTGGGTGGCGTTATGACGTTGAGTGAATATTTGCATGTAGATGTGTTCAGGATGGGACTCTTATCATCCATGTAAAAATTGGTACAGATCTGAGCATGTACACTGAAGTTACAGTGGGTACGGAAAGTATTCAGACCCCTTTAAATTTTTCACTCTTTGTTTCATTGCAGCCATTTTCCAAAAATCAAAAAAGTTCATTTTATTTCTCAGTAATGTACACTCAGCACCCCATCTTGACAGAAAAAAACAGAAATGTAGACATTTTTGCAAATTTATTAAAAAAGAAAAAATGAAATATCACATGGTCATAAGTATTCAGACCCTTTGCTCAGTATTTAGTAGAACCACTTTGATCTAATACAGCCATGAGTCGTTTTGGGAAAGATTCAACAAGTTTTTCACATCTGGATTTGGGTATCCTCTGCCATTCCTCCTTGCAGATCCTCTCCAGTTCTGTCAGGTTGGATGGTAAACGTTGGTGGACAGCCATTTTCAGGTCTCTCCAGATATGCTCAATTGGGTTTAAGTCAGGGCTCTGGCTGGGCCATTCAAGAACAGCCACGGAGTTGTTGTGAAGCCACTCCTTCGTTATTTTAGCGGTGTGCTTAGGGTCATTGTCTTGTTGGAAGGTAAACCTTCGGCCCAGTCTGAGGTCCAGAGCACTCTGGAAAAGGTTTTCGTCCAGGATATCCCTGTACTTGGCCGCATTCATCTTTCCCTCGATTGCAACCAGTCGTCCTGTCCCTGCAGCTGAAAAACACCCCCACAGCATGATGCTGCCACCACCATGCTTCACTGTTGAGACTGTATTGGACAGGTGATGAGCAGTGCCTGGTTTTCTCGACACATACCGCTTAGAATTAAGGCCAAAAAGTTCTATCTTGGTCTCATCAGACCAGAGGATCTTATTTATCACCATCTTGGAGTCCTTCAGGTGTTTTTTAGCAAACTCCATGCGGGCTTTCACGTGTCTTGCACTGAGGAGAGGCTTCCGTCGGGCCACTCTGCCATAAAGCCCCGACTGGTGGATTGCTGCAGTGATGGTTGACTTACTACAACTTTCTCCCATCTCCCGACTGCATCTCTGGAGCTCAGCCACAGTGACCTTTGGGTTCTTCTTTACCTCTCTCACCAAGGCTCTTCTCCCCCGATAGCTCAGTTTGGCCGGACGGCCAGCTCTAGGAAGGGTTCTGGTCGTCCCAAACGTCTTCCATTTGAGGATTATGGAGGCCACTGTGCTCTTAGGAACCTTAAGTGTAGCAGAAATTTTTTTGTAACCTTGGCCAGATCTGTGCCTTGCCACAATTCTGTCTCTGAGCTCTTCAGGCAGTTCCTTTGACCTCATCATTCTCATTTGCTCTGACATGCACTGTGAGCTGTAAGGTCTTATATAGACAGGTGTGTGGCTTTCCTAATCAAGTCTAATCAGTATAATCAAACACAGCTGGACTCAAATGAAGGTGTAGAACCATCTCAAGGATGATCAGAAGAAATCGACAGCACCTGAGTTAAATATGAGTGTCACGGCAAAGGGTCTGAATACTTATGACCATGTGATATTTCAGTTTTTCTTTTTTAATAAATTTGCAAAAATTTCTACATTTCTGTTTTTTTCTGTCAAGATGGGGTGCTGAGTGTACATTACTGAGAAATAAAATGAACTTTTTGATTTTTGGAAAATGGCTGCAAAGAAACAAAGAGTGAAAAATTTAAAGGGGTCTGAATACTTTCCGTACCCACTGTATAATAACGTTCTGTATAAGGCTAACCATCAGTCTTTGACGCCAAGCCACAGACACGCCATGGCCGAAAAGCAGATTTGAGCATGTGCTCTGAAGTTATTGCAACTTCCTGTTTCATGGCAAATCATCGATTTTGGACGCCATGCCACGGACATGCCCATTAATGAAAACTC